CCCCGGCCCCCTGCCTGGGCCCGGGCAAGGTCTCCCGTCCGCGTGTCGGCGGTTCTTGCAGACTTTCTAGCGTTTCCACGGAAAGTAGGGCTTGGCGGCGTCTCGGGCTCATTGTCCGTTTCGCAGCGCATCGTTCTCGTGTCCCGCTTTCTGGATTTTTTGTTGACTCGACCCGGGCTGACCGAGGCGGTTTTCCCGCGGAGCCCGTGCTTGTTGCGGCGCCTCACCTCCGCTTCCCCTCCCGCGGAAACGGAGCGAGCGCGTGGAGTCAGCTGGGCTCTAGCCTTCGCCCTGGCCTCCAGCACAGATTTAGATGCTGAAAACCACGGGGTTGCACTTGAAAACAAAGCGGAACATTTATGTGCGGGCACATGAGACAAATGGGCTTTAATTTAGCCTAAAAAACATTGCATGGTGGCTGATTGGGGAGAGAGGGTCCACCGGGTGCTGGGTCCCGGGCCCGGGCTGGCAGGTGACAGGTACTGCTCCCTGTGACAGGGCCAGAAGTCGGAACATTTTTCAAGGGGGTAACTTTTACATTTGGATTCGAACGAGGAAATGAGGTTCTGAGAGATGGAGCAATTAGTCCAAGTCAATTCCTTGAATTGGGAACAGTTTTGTGCTGACGACCTTGGGCCTTAGCTTCAGCTGGCCCCGTCCTTGGGGCCGGGCTGGGCTGAGGTGGTGCCATCCTGGCAGTTGGGGTACACTGGACTGTACAACACGGGGGTCAGAAACTTCGCCACGTGGGAATACTGAGAAGAAAAGTTTTACAGATGGGGCCACGGCATAGATTACATAGGGGTCGCTCTCTAACATGCAGCATTATCCGAACTTCTTTGGGCAGAGTAACCCAATATTTGCAAAATAATGTCTTTGTCCTAACAGCCCAGTGATAAACTATTAGGTAAAGGATATGTAACATTTTATTTTATTAAAAATATATTTTATTGATTTTTTACAGAGAGGAAAGGAGAGGGATAGAAAGTTAGAAACATCGATCAGCTGCCTCCTTCACACTCCCCACTGGGGATGTGCCCGCAACCAAGGTACATGCCCTTGACCGGAATCCAACCTGGGGCCCTTCAGTCCGCAGGCTGACCCTCTATCCACTGAGCCGAACCGGTTAGGGCAGGATATGTAACATTTTAAAAACACCCCTCACTAGGACCCAACTGCCCGGGTATTGTGAGAACTCTGACGTGTTATTTCCTTTGTGTGGAACTTGTG